AAAATATGAAATAATTACATTTTGAATAATTAAAAACAAGTGTATAGGTTACATACCTCAATAGCAAAACTCTCTACATACAGAGAAATTAAAGAGGAGTGCCAGAAGAGGTACCAAACTATATCAGAGCTGTATAAAATAGAGCAAAATTCTATATGACAGAAAAGTTTTCATCAGTCCTTGGGAGTTTTATTTTGTCTTGTTTTTTTCTGATGAGATTCATTTTGTAGTTGTAAGCATTAGCCAAAGTTTCTGTATGGAAGGAAATTAAATGTAAATAATGCCTCTTAAGGAATGTGGATGAGGATAACAAAAAAATAAACATCTTAGATTTTTATAATGCTTTAGATTCCATTGGTCTCTTGAATAAGACATGGGCAGCTATTTGATAGCTTGTGTAGTTTTTTTTAACTGTCAAATAAAAATGTATTTTGATGTGCTACATGTTTTGATATATGTACACATTGTGAAATGACTAAATCAAATTTAACGTATGCATTACCTCACATATTTATTTTTTTCTGGTAAGTAGCGTGTGTAGTTTTGTTTAGTCAGCGAACACCATAATCCAGTTGTGCTCAACCTTGGCTGCTATGTGTTGGAATCCCTAGAGAGCTTTTTAAAATTCAGATGCCCCATGCAGCATACCAGACCAATTAAACCCAGAATCTCTGGGGTGGGATTTGGACATTAGAATTTTTTTAAAGCTGACACGGTGAAGCCAATGTGCACCTAACGTTTAGAACTGCTGTAGAGAATTGAAAATGCAGATGAGATTGAGCTCAGGAGGATGTAATTATCCTGAAATGACAATTAAAGACATGTCCCCTGAACTACATGCCACTTTAATTGTAATATCAGCCACTGTGAAAAATACTATGGAACTATCAGGACATAATGATTTGGCCTTGCCTTTATCTGTGAACCAGTAATAAAAGATTACATAATCAGCAGAACTCCAAAATTTGGTACTAATTAAGATCAGTTATGCATATCACCACATAGACAAGCATTTGTTTGGGGGAAAAAGTCTACTGCTAAAAAAATTTTGTAAGCTACCAGTTTATTGGAAGAAGCACTGAAGCACTGGCTTAAGAATTTGAGAATCTGTGTTAGCTCCACTGTGTAACTTTGAGCCCATGTATTTAAATTATGCTTTATTAAATGAGGCCATTGGACTGGAGGTGGTCACCAAATTATTTATTCAACAAATTGGATTGCTTGCTGTGTACTAGGCAAGGATGCAAGGATGAACAGAACATAGGTCACATCCTTGAAAAGCTCACAGAAGGCAGACACAGATGTGCAGAATGTGTAGGTGTAGCTATAGTGAAATGTTCAGGGAGTTAAGGAAACATAGGAGTACTTCATTCGGTTTCAATTTGGGACAAACACTATAGTTGCCTAGTCAGCAAGCATTCACAGATGCTTGATTTCCTAGCCACCCTTCCAGCTGGGGCATGGACATGTGGCCCAATGCTGGTCAGTAAGATCAGATGAGAAATCTGCAAGGCACGTTTCCTTATAAAAGTTGGCAATTGAGAAAGTACCCTTCCTTCTATCCTGACGGTATTGTATGGGGACATAATACTTGGTGCTTCAAAGGTCATCTTGAGACTATGATGGCCTAAGAACAAAGGCCTCAATGCTGAGAATAGCCAGAGAAAAATAAAGAGCCTAGATCCTTGATGTCAACACTGAGCTACTGAGCCAACCTTAGAACCATCTTCCTGTGGGTATATTAAGTGAGACAATAAAAATTCTTATTGTTTGAACCCTTGTTGCTTTAAGAGTTGTCTGTGGATCAGCATCACCTGGAAGGTTGGCTTGGAATGCAGACTCTCAGACCCCACTTCTGACTTATTACATCAGCGTCTGCACTCTAATAAGATCCCCAGGTGATTAAGATGCACATTACAGCTTGAGAAGCACCAGTTTAAACCAATTTTAATAGGATATTCTCTTACATACAGTTAAAAACATCCTTACCTAATACAAATACATTGTGGATTGACTGAGTGCCACTTTTTAAATAAGAAAATACCTGAATAGAAAGACTTCTGATTCAGATGTAAAAAGTTGCAAGAGACTGTTATTGTCACCATAATAACCAAAACAAGCAGACTAAACTACGTAATCATAGTTTCTTGTTAAACCTGTTAGAGAACTTGAGGGCACAAACCTAAATGATTCCAGAAAGTGACAAGCCTTTCATGAAAGAAGTGATCCACTTCTGCTCTCATCCCTGACTGAAATGTAGGGAGAGGGAGGAAACCACCATAGAGGGGAGTGAGGAGAAATCAGCCTAACTTTTAACAAACTTTTAATGACTGTGTGTGAGCTGGCACAGTAGATGAGAATACAGAAAAGCCCTGGACCAGTGCTGTCCACTAGAACTTTCTGCAATGATGGAATGAATGTTCAACATCTGTGCTAACCAGTATGGCAGCTACTAGCCAGTGTGTCTTCTGAGCATTTGAAATGCAGCTAGTAAGTAACTGAATTTTTCATTTTAATTAATTTAAATAGTCACATGTGGCTAATGGCTGCCACATTGAACAGTACAGCCCTAGAGACAGAGTAAGAATATATTAATAGTAACCCCCGGCTCTTTTCTGTGGGGCTTCATTTAGTGCTAGGGGTAGTACTCCAAGAACAGAGGCAATGAAGCAGAGCTGAGAGAAAATCCCCAAGGTATGGGCTTTTATCTGGGGGAGATGGAGGGAAGGGCAGCAGAGCTGGGAGAATTCCCTTCCAGGCCATCCCCGCTTTCACAGAGTGGAGAGCAGACAAGCCAAGAGTGGGGCTGAAAGATCCCCCAAGGCACAGAAAGCAGGGGGTAGGGCTGGAAAGCAGAGAACGCTCCCAGTTACCCAGAAAGCCAGAAGAAATTTCACAGGTCACAGTTCAGAAAAGTAGGCAGCTCAGCAGATCTCCAGAATCTCACCAGGGTTCTGATCCCAGGCCTTGCTAAAGGGAAACTCCTGATCCTGTTCTCAAAATGTTTTAAGCCAATGAGGAATTCAGTCAAACTCAAGTTGCAACAAGGCCCAGATCCAGCTCAACTGTAGAGCATATTGATTCAGCTCCGACCTAAGAATTGTGCTCCTTTCTGGGAATATAACTTCCTTTAGTCTCTGCTATACTTTTATACAAAATGCTCAGCACGCAGTCAAAGATCTTAAGACACCTGTAAGCAAAAATATGTGACCCATATAGTCAAGAATGTAAACAGTCAGTAGAAGACCCACAGCCTGCCTGTAGTCCCAGCTACTTGGGAGCCACTCGGGAGGCTAAGGCAGGAGGATTGCTTACGCCCAGGAGTTTGAGGCCTGCCTGGGCAACACAGCAGCACCTTGTCTCTTAAAAAAGAAGATGATCCAGAGGTGACCCAGGTATTGGTATTATCAGTCAGGGACTTTAAGATAACTATGATAAAAATGCCAAAGAGTCTGGTGAAAAGGTACACAGCCTGTGTCAGGAGATGGAAGATTTTAGCAGAGACATGGAAATAATTTTTTTAAAAAGAACCAAATGGAAATGCTAAAAATAAAAATATAACATCAGAAATTAAGATCTGGTTTCCTGCACTTGCAAGGGTTGACCCATTCCTTCTCTGGAACGTAAAAAAAGAAGAAGAAAAAAATTAAGCACCTTTAAATTGGCTTAGCAGAAAATACCTGACCAGCCTTGGTCAAAATGTGAGAGCAGTCTGTATTGTGGAAGGATTCCTTAGGGTTACACTGATTTATATTTACCTTGGACAAGAAGTACACAACAGTCACTGAACTAACTATAAGCCCACCAACGTTTCTTTTGATAGAGTACTTTGTAGATTCATGAGGGCACACAGTCTCACATATGTCCCTGATAGTTTCTTGATAGAAAAGAAAGTGGCAGTTCTTTAAATTCATACTTAGGTCTTGCTAGATAACTTGAGTTACAGTTTTCACCTGTGTTGAGAGAGCAACCAGAAGCAGCATTGGTAACCCAGTTCCCACTTTGTGTGAGTGCATCTTGTCTGGTCAGCTGGTGCGGCAGGTACATCATTGTCATTTTCCATTCCCTTCGTGTTTTTAATCTTGCATTGAACGTATAGTCATAAATATGATTTTCACATAATAAAGACTTTAAGTTTCTCGAGTAACTAGTTTCTTAACAGATAACCTTGTTGTTAGGGTCCACTGAGGCTTAGAGGAATCATGATCAAAAGTTAAAGAATATCACTCAGAACATGTAGAAATTTCTTTGCAATTGGAACTTGAACTTCTGGAATCGTAATTGCCTCTGCCATCCCCCAAATGACTGTAACAGTTTGGTGCTTAAGAATAAGAAATTGGATTGTGTTGTTTTTAATCTCTTTAAAGTTTTATAGGTTTTTTGTTTGTTCTTTCATTTATTAATTGATTTATTATTTGTAAAGAAACTCATAGTTACTCCAAAAAGAGCTTATTTTTATTTCTACAAGTGAAAAATTTCTTTTTTTTGAGACAGAGTCTCACTGTGTTGCCCCGGCTAGAGTGAGTGCTGTGGCGTCATCCTAGCTCACAGCAACCTCAAACTCCTGGGCTCAAGCGATCCTAGCTGGGACTACAGGCATGCGCCACCATGCCCGGCTAATTTTTTCTATATATTTTTAGTTGTCCGATTAATTTCTTTCTATTTTTAGTAGAGGCGGGGGTCTCGCTCTTGCTCAGGCTGGTCTTGAACTCCTGAGCTCAAACAATCCGCCCGCTTTGGCCTCCCAGAGTGCTAGGATTACAGGCATGAGCCTCCGCACCCGGCCGAAAAATTTCTTTTCTTTCCAACTTAATACAGCCAAAGTATTGCCTTGGAAATTTATAAATCCATTTAGAAGATGAAACAAAATTACTGTAGATGTTAATCTTCACTTTTCCCTCAGTTTCAACTGAACATACTTTTAATAATGTTTGTTAGGAGGGTACAATGGTAATGAGTTAATAGCAGTAATAGAATTAACAAAGTGCTTTATTTTACAGGGAAAATATTTATCCCCAAACAGAAACCTGTACAGACTTTTACAGAAGAAAAAGTATCTCTTGATCCAGAATTAGAAGAAGCTTTGACAAGTGCTTCTGATACAGAATTGTGTGACCTCGCAGGTATCTCCTAAAACAAATTAATTTGTGAATGAGTGTGGAGTGGGGACGGGAATACCAGCACACACCTGTATACATTATATAACACAAACACTTGCTTTGCCTAGCAAACTGCTGTGGAATCAATAACCACATGTTTGGCTTTGTATTTTACACAATAAATCTGACATTCAGGATTTCATTTGTTTAAATACTCTCAGTGGTGAAATTTTTATATTTGACATGTTTTCCCATATTGCCATATTTGAAAATCTTTCTAAATAAGTATCTTTTATCAACTGGTGTTCAGCTAGATGCTCTCCCACCTAAGCACTGGAAAAGAGTCTTCAGGGTCAACTGCTGCCCCATTTTATTAGAAGACCCAGAGACGAGTAACTGGAAAGCAGATGGAAATGGAACAGTCAGTCCTGAGCTGTACTCACCACTTTCCAAACTTTTCTGAAGTGTGTATTGGAACATTCCATACCTCTGTTATTTTCGCCATTCTCTAGCTTCTGCCTTATTTGTACAAAAGGGCATCAAAAACTAAAACCAAATTTATTTTACCTCGCAAGTGTCATACTTTTTTCTTTTTTTTTTTTGAGACAAGATCTCACTTTGTTGCCTGGTCTATAGTGCAGTGGCATCATCATAGCTCACTGCAACCTCAAACTCCTGGGCTCCTACCTCAGCCTCCCAAGAAGCTGGAACTACAGGCACGTGCTGCCGTGCCCAGCTAATTTTTTATTGTTTTATAGAGATGGGGTCTCGTTGTTGCCTAGGCTGACATTCTTGAGGGAAGCTAATTTATTCTTAAATGAAAGACTTCAGCAATATTTTTAGTATTGTTACTCTTTGCTAGAATACGAATATAAATTAGTGAGATTAACAAATGTAAAAATACTAAGGTTAAGTTGAAAAATCTGCCCTTTATCATCTTATGTTCCTAGAAACCTTGTGAGACGAACAGCAAAAATAGATCATTGCAATTTTCTCTCTTAGCCACTGGATGGAGCTAAGCACAGATGTATTTAGGGACAGGCTGGCTCCAGCTATGTGTCTGAATTCAGAGATGGGGAAAATAACAAAGGTATTAATGATAATGAGATTATAAGTGATTTTTAATCACTTTGTCTCTTTTTTATTCTGGCTACAAAATCTGTAGTTTAGTAGGAAAATGTCCAGAGAATGTTAAAATTGTTGATAGAAATTTTGAATTGTAGAATTAATTCTTTATGTTTAAAACAGATGGAAATAAAAACTATTTTTGTTTTCCTATATTTATAGCTATTCTTGGGATGCACAATTTGATAACGAACACACAGTTCTGTAATATAATGGGAAGTAGTAATGGTGTCGACCAAGAACATTTTTCAAGTGAGTACTTAAAATGATTTGTGAATTTCAGTCCTTTATTAAATATAATGTTTTTGGTGCTTTGTTAAATATATTAAATACTTCAGTATTTACATACTAAATGTTGTATATATGTACTTGAAACCAGAATTCCAGTTTGATGGTATTAACAGAGAAAGCCATTGAAAATAGAATATTAAATATTATGGCTTAATATATCAGCAAATATAATAGGAATTACTCTCACTTCACTAAATAATGCTAATGGTAAACAGTATAAAAGCTAGTCAAACTTCATTTTTGTTGACATTTTATTATTGGTGTTACTGATTTTCAAGAAATCCCCAACAATGCTGACAAAGAAATTACATTATAAAATCAGATTCCATAGAAACCACAAACTACCCAGCCCCTAAACCTTTCACTCTGATACTACATACGCAATAGCCTAAAGCAAAGCTTTTTAAAAAATTCATTTATAAAGTGTTTTAAAATTACCAAGGTGATACATGGTTTTGTAGCACATTGAAATAATACATACATGTATATGGTAAGAAGTAAGTATCTCTATCCATAGTCATAATGCCCTCTGCTCCCCACACCATCACCCTAACTGTTAACACTTTGGTGTACATACCCTTCTAGACTTTGTACTGTGCTTATACAAACGTATACATGTTATAATGTTATATAGTCTTTTGTTTTTTTACAAAAATGGGATCATACTATAAATATTTCTTATAACTTAATTTTTCAATAATACTGTTGGCTATTTTTTTTTGAATGCTTACTATGGGCCGTGTCCTTCTGTGCATAGCTCTTGAATGTGGATTATTCTCATTTAATCCTCATAACAGTTCTATGAAAAAGTTATTATTATCTTTAATTTGCATGTGAAGGAGCTGAGATTTTTGAATAACTAGTCTGAGTAGCAACACAAAGTCAGTGGTAAGGATTTTAACCCATGCAATATAGTATATGACTTACCGATGCATCGTGTTTCCTAGTTAGCACATGTACTCAGTGTACCTCATTTGGACATCTGCATAACATTCCGTTTTATGGTGTTCTGTAATTTGACCGTTTCCTCCCATTTTTAATTTTTTGTTGTAGAAATGTTCAAATATACATAAAAGAAGAGAAAATAATATATCCATTGCTCAACTTCAGTTGTTTTTGGTATTTTTCAAGCCTTGTTTCATCCATCTTCTGCCTCCCTCCCCACCCCTTCCACTTTTTCTTCCCCAGAATATTTTAAAGCAAATCCTGTTTATTTGTATTACTTCACCCATAAATATTTCTGTATATGTCTCTCGCAAATAAAGGCTTTTCGTTTAACATAACCACAATGCCATTATCAAACTTAAAAGTTAATAATAATTCCTTCATATCATCTACTACCCATTCCATGTCCAGAAAACATCACTTCACGATTGTTCAAATAAAGGTTACACCCTGCATTTGGTTGTCTTTTTAGTCTCCCTTAATTTCTTAACAGTTCTCCCCCTCAACCGCTTTTCCCTTTTTTTCATGCCATTTGTTTCTCGAAGAAACTAGGTTATTTGTCATGTAGAATTTTCTACATTCTGGATTTGGCTGATTTTAACCTCATGGTGTCATTTTATATATTTTTCTATTGCCTATGTTTCTGTGAACTCTTGGCTCTAGCGGTTTGATCAGATTCAAGTGCAGGTCTTTTTTGGCAAGAATGCTTGATTAGTGGTGGTTGAATCACATTAGGAAGCTTATCGAGTCTGGGCCTTCCTCTTTGGGGGATGTGTTAAGATTGATTAGTGGGTTCAAATGTTGGCAGCCTGAGCCATCCTTTTTAAGTTCCTCATGAATTTTTTTGCCTAATGATTCCAGGATCACATTGACTAGATCCATTATTTCATTAGGAAGCAAGTTTCTTTAAATCCTTTTTTTTTTTTTTTTTTTTTTTTTACAAAGCTGAGGTCTTCCTGTGTTGCCTAGGCTGGACTTCTGGGCTCAAGCAATTCTCTCACCCTAGCCTCTCAGTTAGCTGGAACCACAGGCACATGCCACCATGGTCAGCTCTTTAAATACACAGTTGATGGATACCCCAATTACCCTGATTTGATTAATTCACATTGTATGCCTGTATCAAAACATTATATGTACCCTATAAAGACATACAACTATTATATACCCATAATAATTAAAAATAAAAACTTTTTAAAAATAAATTTAAATATACATATTCTGTGGAGTGGAGAAAGAAATCTTTTGGTTTTATAAAATTTAGAATCCAGTTTTCCATTCAGTGAGGAAGCTCTTCTCTAGGTCCCTTGGCCTATTTTGAAGAAGGACTGCCTTGCTGAACTTAAGTGAGAGGGAGCCCACTCTTTCCTATTTAGCAGAGCTCCATTAGGAAGCTTTTCTCATGTTGAACCAAATTCTGCCTCTTGGCAATTCATACCTATTCTAACCCAGCCTTTGAGAACAACATGAAATTTGTCTCTTCTACTGGATAAATCTGAAAACAACTAGCATACCTTTTTTTAATATATACTCCTCCAGGCTAAATATATTCAGATCTGTCAACTGTTCTCAGGAAAGTAATTTTCAAATCTTCATCTAAGTTGATCTCAGGATGCTGTGTGTCTGTGTGTGTGTGTGTGTATGTGAGATTTGAAAATAACAAGACATTATTGGATGGCATTTACTGAAGGAGTAAGCAGTACGCCTTGTCTCAAGTTGAGTTTTGCTCTTAAAAGGTAGAGGAGAGCAGAAGGAAAGAACCAAGCCAGACAGTGATACATTTTGAACCCCATCAGTCTTTCCGTTGTCAGTTATGCTTACTTTTTTATGGTCATTTGCCTCTTTAAGAATCTGATGCTGTAGGTGTTCTTCCCAGAAAAATGTATTCATAATAGTTTGCCTGTTATAGGTGTTCATAGACTTCCACATACGTGCATCAGAGCACAATGATATCTCATTAAAGGGTTCAGGGATTCCAGGTCTTCTATGTTGCAACTCTGAAGCGCTATATTCTGGTCGTGTGTGGCTATATAAAGTGAAAATGAGGGTGAGAGAGAAGGAGGGCAGTGAATATCGCCTTCTGTCTCAGTAGCTCTTCTGTGTACCTTCACCTCTCTCTCCCTCCCAACTCCCTACTCCAACCCTTCTTCCTATGTGTTTCCTTCTTGCTAGTCAAGAGTTCTCCCCTTTTTCCCATTGCATAATACTCCCTGTGGGAGGAAGAGGGAATGTGCCTTCCTAGCACCTAATTCCTATCGAGACTGTATTTCCTTAAGTCTGTGATTCTTATACCACTTATCTGTCAAATCTCAGCGAAAATGATGAGAGATGCTAGATTTTATCATGCTAGAACTTTATCTTGAATATTGCCAAAAATAAATGGGATCATCAGCTTGCACTGTCAAATATATTTGAGTGGTAAAGATATATTGTAATACACTAGGAGGGAGTAAAAATAGCTGATACATGGCCAACAAATGTTGAATATATTTGGTATTTATATTCAATAAAATTTTATTTGGATGCTTTAAATATGTGTCAACACATAAAGGATCTTTTGGGAGTTGTGGGGAAGGAACTTTTAAATCCGTTCTGTTGAATAAATGTTTGTATGTGTGAGTGAGAGAGAGAGCAATGTGTTACCAAGTTAATATGTACATGTACTATAGTGGCGTCAACCAGTGAGACTCTTACTCTTTTCATCTGCTACTACAGATGTGGTGAAAGGTGAAAAGATTCTTCCAGTATTTGATGAGCCACCAAATCCAACCAATGTTGAAGAGAGTTTAAAGAGAATTAAAGAAAATGATGCTCGTCTTGTTGAAGTTAATTTGAATAATATAAAGGTAAGTGTGCTAAGCACACAAAGTTGTTTTGTTTGTATTGCTTTGAATCAGTTGGACCTAGGGTGAGAGCTGGGCAGTTTTGAGTATTATGGTATAGTATTTTCTAACTTGCTTTTTAAAGAGTTTGTCATACAAAAATGTAAACCCTACAAACTGTCATAAATCTTTCTGGTTTTCAAAATATTGCCTATTTCTAAGAACATTTAGCCTTTTGGGTTTTGCTTTTTTAAAATCAAGTTTCTTAGGCCAGGCGCGGTGGCTCACGCCTGTAATCCTAGCTCTCTGGGAGGCCGAGGCGGGCGGATTGTTTGAGCTCAGGAGTTCAAAACCAGCCTGAGCAAGAGCGAGACCCCGTCTCTACTAAAATTAGAAAGAAATTAATTGGACAACTAAAAATATATAGAAAAAATTAGCCGGGCATGGTGGATCAAGTTTCTTGAAATAAAATTTAAGTATAACAGAATTCTCCCTTTTTGTGTATAGTTTTGAGTTTTGACAGATGCATACAGTTACACAACCATCACCACAGTTGAGATGTAGAACATGCCTATCACCCCCAAAACTTTCTCATGCCCCTTTGTAGTCATTCTCTTCCACCCAGCTCTAGCCCCTGACAACCACTGATCTGTTTTCTTTCCCTTTCATTTGCCTTCTCCAGAATGTTATATAAATGGAATCATTAGTGTGTACCCTTTTGAGTCTGGTTTCTTTCACTTAGCTTAATGCATTTAAGATTCAGCATGTTATTGTGTGTTTCAGTAGTTTGTTCCTTTTTATCGCTGGATATTATACCATTGGATGGATAGGCTGCAGTTTGCTTACCCGTTCATCAGTTGATAGATACAGAGGTTCCTTCCAGTTTGGGATGATTATGAACAGAGCCACTATACACTTTTACATACAGGTTTTTGTGTGAATGTGTTTTCAGTTTTCTTGAGTAAATACCTAGGAATAGGCTTTCTGGGATCTTACCAGGTTTCAAACAATGCAACCTTCCTTGGAGTAGAGAAAGAAGAAATCAGGAGGGTATAGAGATAATTAATTATCAAAGAGTAAACTCAAATTATCTCTTGGGTATTGACCATCATATAATAGCTTCATTATAAATTTCTTATTTTAAATCTTAATTTTTCTGAATTGAGGAGTGAGAGGAGGAGAACATCTGGAAATTACATGAAACTAGGGAAGAAGATCTTTGTGCTCCTTTGGTGGGTGTTCCTTTTTGTGAGTGGAGGAAAGAAAGCCTTGGATAAAGCTAATATTCTTAGTTGATCACTAATCTTTTTGATTTTTTTTTTTTTAAATTTTGTCCTCATGTATCTTCTGTCTCTAAATAAATAGTAATGATCTGAAAATAACCAGGCTATAGGGAATTGAAGTCTCAGGTACTAAAGGGAGAAATCAGTGCCTTCAGTAACTATATTTTTCCTTCTTCAAGTAATGTAGGTTTAAATCTCTCTTAATACCTTATAGCTTGAACTAAGTGACTAAGAACAGTATGTCATCCACCTCAGAGATCATACTCATTAGAAGTAGACTCCTACATCTCTCTCCTTGTGGAAAAGTAGATCCAGTTTTAATTATCAGCGGAGGGCTGCATATAATAAGAATAATGAAAAGTGGAATAGTGAGAGTTTCTTTAACCTAAGTGCTAGAGAAGAAAATTCAGAAAACCAATTGGTTAAAAAATATATAAAAAAAATAAGTGCTAGGGAAGTACTGATGCATGCTCTTCCCTGAAAATGAAAATGTAATGAAAACTAAAATTTAATGATGTTTCACATTATTGTCTTTCAAGAATATCCCAATTCCAACTCTAAAAGATTTTGCGAAGGCTTTGGAAACCAACACACATGTGAAATATTTCAGTCTTGCAGCCACCCGGAGCAATGACCCTGTTGCTGTTGTAAGTAAACTACTATTGATAATATCAAAATTATGCCTACATACCCCAAGGTATGTAGTGGTTGTGAAATTGTGATTTTATGGACAAGATTTACTCCCTTTTTTCAGTTTTATCTAACTATTAGGCAATATAATAATTATTACCCTTTTATATTTTTTCCTGTATTTCCTTCCTATGAATTTTTTAAAAACATAAATAGAATGACGTAATATATGCTATTTTGCAACTTGATTTTTCTTGTCCTATCAACATACAAAGATCTGGTACATTTTTTAACATCTGCAGAGGATTCCATTTATGGATCTATAGTGTTGGATTTTTGTTAAATGCTTTTTGTGCATCTGTTGAGATGATCTTGTAGTTTTTGTCCATTATTTGATTAATATGGTCTATTATACCGATTAACTTTTGTATGTTAAACCAGCCTTGCATTCCTGAGATCCTACTTGATCATGGTATGAACCTTTTCCTTCACTTTGCTTTGAGGATATCATTCCTTTTGGTTCTCCTCCCACCTCACTGGACATACCTTCTCAAGGGCCTACACTGGTTCCTCTTCATATCCCCAACCTCTAAACATTGGAATGGCCCAGGGCTTGGTCCTTCTTTTCTCTGTCTATATTCACTTCCCCAGTAATCTCATTCTGTTTCATTGTTATATGTCATCTACACATGCTGATGATGACTCCCGTGTGCTGCTATCTCCAGTTTGTATCTCTTTCCTGAACTTCATACTCAATTCCAGCTACCTACTCAACAGCTTTACTTAGATGTCTGATAGACAGCTTACATCTAAGTTCCCATCCAAACTCCTACTTCCATCTCATCCCTGCTTCTCTTACCCTCTTTTCTATCTCACTAAATGCAACTTCAATCTTTCATTTGCTCGGGGGAGGGAGGGAAAAGGAAATTATCCTTGACGTCCCTTTCTCACAACCTTTAGTAAACTTTCAGCCATATCTTCAAAGTATGTCTGTCCCTGGTGGTCCCCTGGTTAGGAAAAAATATGTATATATTTCTAGAATCCAACCACTTCTCACCATTTTCACAACTACCACCCTGGTCTAAGCCACTGTCTTCTCCCACCTGGGTTGTTGCAATAGCCTCCTGATTGAGTTACCTTCTCCTATCTTATCCACCCTAAAGCCAATTCTTTACATAGCACCAAGAGTTATTCTTTTAAAACTTAAGTTAAATCATTCATTCCTATACTGAGAACCCTCCAGCAGCTTCTTATCTCACTAAGAGTAAAAATCAAAAATTTTCAATGGCCTGGTAAGGCCTTACATGAGTAGACCTCATCTGCTTTCCTTGCCCTCTCTTTCATTCTACTGTAGCCGTACAGCCTTCTTGCTTTTCCTTAAACATGCATGTAGGCTCCCAAATCAGGTCTTTTATGCTGTTCCTTCTGTCTAGAACTTTCTTCCTAAGATAATACACATTGTTTCACTTCATCACTTTGTTTGAGTCTTTGCTCAGATATCACCTTCTAAGTGAGTCCTTCCCTGACCACTTTATATAAAATGGCAACCCCACCCCCACCCAGGCACCCCTTTACCTTTTTTATTTTTATCATCGACATTACATTTTGCTTACTTATGTTAATTAGTGTATTTGTTTATGGCATGTACAGTATGTAATAGGTGCTATCAAATTTTAATCTCCAAATATGTTCTTCAATTTCTAGGCTTTTGCAGATATGCTGAAAGTGAACAAAACTCTGAAGAGCTTAAATATGGAGTCCAACTTTGTCACAGGAGCTGGGATTCTAGCACTGATTGACGCTTTAAGAGACAATGAAACCCTGGCAGAGCTCAAGATTGACAATCAGGTCAGTGTTCTGTGATTATAACTTTCAAAAAACAACAACCCACACTGGTATACTGGTATGTAGGGCTTGGTGATTTGAGGGTGGGAGGAGAGTTGTCAGGGATCCCTTTCAGAAGGTGGAGGCTGGAAGAGAAGGAGAGGACATTTGGAGCATCTAGAATATTAACTTCGTATATATAAAGGTATATAAAGCAACTCTAAGTTATTTTAAGAGAATTTAGACAACTGGCTATTTTGAACTGGAAGAACTCTTCTTACATATGACTCAATCCATTCTCCAATTCTTTTTTTTTTTCCGAGACAGAGGCTCACTCTGTCACCCCGGGTAGAGTGCAGTGATGTCATTGTAGCTCACTGCAACCTCAAACTCCTGGGCTCAAGCGATCTTCCTGCCTCAGCCTCCCAAGTAGCTGGGACTACAGGCGCATGCCACGTTGCCTGGCTAATTTTTCTATTTTTAGTAGAAATGGGTTCTCACTCTTGCTCAGCCTGATCTCGATCTGAGCTCAAATGATCCTCACGCCTCAGCCTCCCAGAGTGCTAGGGTGACAGGCATGAGCCACTGTGCCTGACCCATTCTCCAGTTCTTTACCTCTGTGGTGGCAAAGTTTACATTGTAGACTTTTTGTATTTGTAGTAAGAGGCACAGAGGTATACATGCTAGAAATGTTTCCATCCATGATGGCTATTAATTTTTTATTTGAAAAATAACTGCAGTTATTTAAAAAAATACTTGGTAAATGTCTCTCTCAGTCCTTTGAAGTAAATAAATTTTGTAGACTGTGAAGGTAGAAAAGAGGATTATGTCTTAATATTTAACCAGAATGTTTCTTAATCCATGTTTCAGTTTATAATTAAGTGATTTTTAGTATATTCGTAGTTTTGCACCCATTGCCATTAATTCCAGAACATTGTCATTACCGTAGAGAGAAACCCCATACCTATTAGCAGTCACCCCCCATTCATCCCTCCCACCACCCCCTGGCAACCACTAATCTGCTTTCTGTCTCTCTGGATTTGCCTAATCTGGACAGTTTATATCAGTGGAATCAAACAATCTGTGATCTTCTGCGACTTGCTTCTTTTACCTGGCTTAATGTTCTGGAGGTCCATCCACGTTATGGCCTGTATCAGTACCTCATTCTTTTATGGCTGAATAATATTCTATTATATTTGGGGTGTTTATAGTTTTTGGCTATTAGAAATAATGCTGCTATGAACATTCATGTACAAGCTCTTGTATGGACATGTTTTCACTTCTCTTGAGTATATACTTAGGAGTGGAACCGCTGGGTCATGTGGTAACTCTGCCTTTTGGAGCAACAGCAAAAAGAAGTTTTCCACAGCAGCTGCACTATTTTACATTTCTGCCAGCAAAGTATTAGGGTCCCAATGTTTCCACATTCCTGCCAACACTTTTTATTTTCTGTCTTTTTTGTTATACTTATCATAGGAGATATGAAGTGGTATCTCTCTCATTATAGTAATTCACACTTTTTTATGTCTGTATGATTATATGCTGAACTTTGAAAAATTTATTTTTCTTAGATATGTTGTAGGAATTAGAAAAATTTAAAGAGACCAACAACATCAGCATGTGCCTAAATGCCTTAGTCTCGATTTACCTTGAAAAGTATTTTGATCTAGTTGATTAATATTGTTCTTTATTTCTAATTTTTCCAGAGGCAGCAGTTGGGGACAGCTGTAGAATTGGAAATGGCCAAGATGCTTGAGGAAAATACAAATATCCTTAAATTTGGGTATCAGTTTACACAGCAGGGACCACGAACCAGGGCAGCTAATGCTATAACAAAAAACAACGATTTAGGTAAGATATACGCACTATCCAGTTGAGTTTCTGAATTCTACCATTAAGCTAATATATTGGGGGAACTTTTCACTTTTAAAAATGAATGTTAACAGAGGGAAATTACTTGGCTTTTGTTTCTAAAATCAGCACAGTCCTTTTTATGCTGATTGAATTAGAGTTAAATTTAATTGAGGTTGTAGTGATCATTGGGTCAATGGGTAAAATCAGCTTCCTGTAACAAATGTTTTATAGCTGTAAGTGAATAGTTTTCTACAACAAACAAATATTTCATTCTCAGTTGCAAATCAGTCCTTGGAAGTATTAAAAGAAAGATTTCAA